TTGGCATGTGACCTGTCAGGTCTACCGGTAATATACGAAGAGGAGGAAGAACCATATAAAACAAAGCAATCTTCTAAAAGGTACATGATCATGATCATGAAAAAAGGACCTAATGACAGAAAAAAAGAAAGATGATGCTGATACTTCCATGGAGATAAAATTGCTCCTTAATTTCTCTATACTTCTTAAAATCGCATTTTAATTTGAATCTAACGCAACAATTATTCGATACTAATGCATTTGCCAATGGAAAATTTTCTTTAATGTTGAATTAATATATGACAAACATCCAACTGTTTTTAAGTTTCCATCAAAGATTTCTGTCGACATGGTATTTTTAAATCGTCAAACAAACAGCTTGTCAAGAGTTTTTGTGGCAATTCTTAAAAAACCAGATACTATGTATTTTTTAAGGCAGACTTAAATGAAATTCAAGACTGAATGAACAACTGATTTGAGGGTCACATTTACCCTTCACTGCCTCACATATATATATATATATATATATTTATGACCAGAAAGCAAGGTGAAACCTCATATCGATTACTGAATTAGCTACCAAATACACAATGCATTTCAGAAACTATGAGCAATGTCACTGGATTTAACTTAGTAAGCAGAAGCTGCCTTCAAAGAGAAACTTCTGAAATTCCTTCTAGGATAAGAGGAGGAATTAAGATTGACAACTTGAATTAAACTAAACTTTCTCTTTTGTTTTGCTTTTTCTTCGAGGTCTGAGCAAACTAAATCTGACTGAGATTATTATTTAGCCTTTGCCTAGAAAAGGGTGAGGATGAAAATTTTATTAATCTAATGGTTAAGCTACAAAATAAAAAAGTTATTATGAATTTTAACTATTAGATTTTCCATCCCCGCCTCTCTTCATCATTCCTACTAAGCAAAGTCTTAGTTTGAAATCTCTTTGATAAAAGAGAAAATGTTTGCCACGTGGTGATGTAATTTACAATCGAAAGTTTACCCTATCGGTGTGAATGTCTTTCTTGTATCTTACCAGGAGAAGCAGAAAGGACGTGAAAGTTGTAATAGTGCAAGCAGCACTTCTTCTAGTGTGAAGCCAATCAAGCATGAAGAGAACTACGTGCATTGCTTTCTACTGATCAGGCTCATTGTCATGAGCCACCCTTGTATAGGGTCATGACTGGGACTTAGGTTGCCATGAGCCACCCATGTATAGGGCCATGGCCGGGTAGATCCCTTATGTTAGGAAAAGTGTCCTCATTTCAAACATTGTAACGGTTACTGGTAGCATAGCTCTAAAAGTTCTAAGGTTCTTTAGGGGGGGTGAGCCGGCAGCGTAGTGTTGGGCTGTCTCACCGGGTGCTATACGAGCTTAGGCCACCACCAAGGGCTGCCCCTGGCCTTGGTGATGGTGAGAGGTCCCGATGTATGATTCTCGTTTATAATAAAATTCACCCCGATTGAATGCCCGATTGTTGCCTTGATGTGTTTTTTCTTTCTCGAT